TCTCCATGTCACAGTTGTCGGGCTTTGTTTCACCAAGTTGAGGTCTCAGTGAAAAGCACGGTTTCTGAATTACCTTACATTTTTTATAAATTAGTAGGCAGAAAACATTAACTAGCTTCACCAACTGTTCTTTCACATTCAGTTTTACCTGCCACATTGGTTTCAAAACAGCTCTTGGATTATTTATCAGTAACAACAATAACTTAATTTTTCCTCACTAACTGGAGAAGCGTCTCCAAGAGGAAAAAACCCAAACCAACCCCAATTAAAACCACCTAACATCCCATTTGAGGGAGGTGGCACATCTTTGTTAGAATACCATTAAAAAAAACAATGAAAACAAAACTGCACATCCAGAACTCCAGTCTGTTTTCACACATATAAGAACAAAACCCAAACTACAATATCATTTCTATTTAATGTACCATATATGAACTTTGAGTAACCATTTTTAAATTATTTTCCTCATTTTCCATTTTCAGTTCTTCCGACATTGTTGACATTAAAAAGCATATTCTTTATTAATGACCAATATTACTTATGTTTACAAACATTGCTTATTAAAACTTGCTCAACTGAATAAGCAATTTCAGTGACAAACTGCTGTAGAGTTAAGCTTTCTGTATGATTGCTGCCAAAAAGACTGTCTTTTTATCATTTTAAACCATTGTGTATAGGACAGTTCAGTCATTGCTGATCTTAATAATTTTATTAATGCTTATATTATTGAGACGTGTTTGGGATAAGCTTCAAGTTAGTTATTACATCTAACATTCTGTAGTTATTTTCATATTTTTCTTTTTACACTGGTATGTATGTGCCAGTATTCCTGAAGAACAAAGCTAAATTTACTCCTAAAAGAAAGATAGATAGCAAAGAATATAAGGAAATGTTCTCCATAGTGTTCTAATGTATACTAGACTTGTTGGTGTGACCAGAGCACAGTGATTTAAACCAGACAAAGTTCTTCCAAGTTTCCATTTGATTCTCCAGGAAGATTAAAGCTCTTAATCTTGTTGTAGCACAGATCTTGCCTATGATCTTTTTTCATGACTTTGAGCTAATGACTAGAGCATTGGATCATCCAGAAATATTTTTTTAATATCTCCAATATCTGGTTTTACTTTTAGGTATTTTTAAGCCACGCAACAACCACCTTGTGCAGCATTACTGAAATTGTTTCTAAACAATGATAAATTTGACTGTTGCTTACTCTTATTTTCACCCCATATGTATGACTTATGTTAGCATATTATATAAATATTATATACTTCATTTTATTTCTACTTATAAAGGTATTTGCATTGTTTGCTTGAAGAATGATCAGCAGACTTTAAGGACTTAAATAGTAGTGGATTTTTGACATAGAAAAAAGTATTTCGATATTTTCACCTGACCTAGGAGACCTATAAAGGGTCCAAGGGTGATATAAACCTGAATCTGCTCTCAAATACATCCTCTTAACAAGATCAATATACTGAAAGCTGCAGCATGAGGGTTCTCTGTTAGCACCTTATTTTATCAAGGCTTCAACTGGTTATGATGCACTCTGAAATGCCTTGAGCACAACAAAGAGCTACCGAAATTAAAGTAATTCTCCCTCCCCTTGTGATATCAGCCTTTCTACTACAGTTCCATGGTATTAGTTATACTTCTCGTGAAAGCACAGATAACATGTGGACAACGGTTAAAGGAAGCCACCTAAATCACTATTCAATGCCTCAAAGTCCAAGTATATGAAAAAAAGCAGTCAAGCATTGCTTGACTAAAACATTTTATACTGTACAGTCTCTTCAAATCCTTCTACTCCAGCAGAAAATAGAGTATTCAGCTCAAAACTTATTCAAATCACCTTTGCGATTTGAATTTTATTGAATTATTTATTTGAAATTTATTCAAATCACATCTCAGCATCCCACATGAGAACTGGAAAGGAGCAACTAGAAAACCTACTCCAGGTTCACAGGCCAAAAAAAAAACCTACTCAAGTGAGAAGACTGAAGACACCATCCTTTAAACAGACACACTAAGATTGAATACAACTTTAATACTTGATAATATGTAGAACAATATTCATATTTTAATTACATTTTCTTATTAAGGCATAGGATAGAAAGAACAGACCAAAAAAACCCAGGACAGTGTCATCACCAAGCAAACTACAAGCATTAAAATCTCTATTCACTTATAGTCTATAAAGTGTATAGCTTTTGTCTTCAAAGTGAGGAATACTCTAACTTCACTCTCTGGGTATTTCACCTCTTCATGACTATTGCTAAGGTTTCCATACAGAATGCATATACAGTATAAAGTGTTAGAACTCTTCACATTATTCATAAAGTATGCTATCTTTTTAGGCAAAAAAAGATTTTTTCCAAAGACCCTCAGAAACTGAAGATGTTAGGCATCCCAGCGACTCTCAGGAGTTCATGTTTGTCCTCAGATGCAGAGATATGATCAAGTTCTGCTTGTGCACTTGGCAGACTGGATGCATCCCAGGAGCCATAAAACTGCATTAGGATGTTATTATGCTCTGCTGTAACGTCAAAGATTATTACGTCAGCCATAACATTATAGCTATATGGCTTCCAGACTTCTAGTCACTCAAAAGTCTGCCTTAACCTGTTAATAGCTGCAGAATAAATCTGCATCATCTGAAAGTAGAGGAGCTAAATACTTTCAGAAGTTTTACTGCAAAAATTTTCATAATGGATGATTTTTAATTTTTTTTTAATAAATCGTTTTACTGTTCAGTGTAAAAACAGGTTATTGGGCTATGATTTTGAACAACAAACTTAACCCTGGGCTTTTCTGGAAAACAATAACCTAGAAAGAACTATAAATGTTGTCACAAAAAAATGATTTAACACTGGCAGAGAAAGCATGAAAACTTTCAAAATATGAGCCGAAAAGTACAGATACCATTAAGTAGTTTTTACATTCCTATTAGGGAACATTTTGCCAAAACCAGAGCTGTGGTCACAAAAATATAAACATGTAAAAATGCTCACCTTTTTGAAATTTACTTTCAAAATATTTTTTAAAAATGTGATCTAAGCAGATTAACAAACTTTAAGTAAAAGGATTAATGAAGCATGTGACCGAGACAGGAAGAGATTACCAGAAAACCAAAGCACTATTTTGTAAAGAAAGTTTTGTAAATACTGCTGAGAAATTTGACAGACTTCCTGTAAAGTAGAAGTAATTCCCTAAGTATTTAAAAAAACCACGAAAGGCATTCAACATCTCATGATTATTCCAGTAGGCTGTAAGTCAATTAAAAATTTCTAAAAGTACGGCTCATTTAACAACAGCTTTATTTTCAGATCAGTTCACAAACAAGTTTTTTCCATACTGAAACTATATAAAGCTAAAGGAAGAATAGAATTTTAAAGCTATGATAATCATTAACAAGATTCAATACACCTGCCATTACTGCTTTTTTTCTTAGTTATACTACTGGAAAGATTTCTGACTTTATTTAGGCCTTATCATCAAACACAATTATAATTTTTTAATTTTTTTTTAATAAATGATCACAGACACTGTTTCACAGCCAGTTCTACTTTTGCTTGCCACTGGAGGTTATTTGAGGACACACACTATTCTTTAAAAATACAACTCTCAGTGAAGTTTTCCCTAGCAAGCTCCAGACAAAAACTATTATCATGATATAACAGCCTGTTTTCAAGAGTTATCTACAAATGTAAATTTTCCTTAACTACAGGAAACCTTCCGCTACATTCATTAGTTTGCAGTAATTTGCGAGACTTAGCAGATTAAGGCAATTACAGATATTTTAAAGTAATTTAAGGAATTTAACTTGTTATAAGGAAAGTTAGCTGCCATCAAAAATCTCTCATCTCTAGTCCTAAAAAACAATTCTTTTCTCAGTAGCCCAAAGTTGAATTCTTTCTAGGTACTCTTTACATTCCTCTTTTACTCTTCACAAATTAAATGAGTGATACTTGTCTACAACTAAGCTGAAATGGAAACCTGACAGTTAGAACAGACCTAGGTAACCTACTTAGCAAGAGACTACCAGGGCATAAATGAAGTTATTTAGCCCCCCTGTGGCTGTACCCAGAACTTTAAAGTCATCAGTGAAGTATGCCACATCCCTTCAGGATTACAAGATACAAGCAAGCATATTACCTGCTGGACTTGCCACTTGACAGTACAAGTTCTATAAAAAAACCCGAGTGTCCTCTACTGACATAAAAAGGCTCTTAAAGATTGAATACCACTTGAGGAGGATTGGAAATATGCAAAAGCATAATTGCTGGCTCTGGTAATTAGCTACTGACACTTTTTTTTTTTTTTGGTAAATGAGTACACAGGAATACAGTTACAATAGATCAAACTCAACTGCATGTTGTATGAAGAAATATTGCTTTTCCCTAGGAAAGAATTACAATTCCTCAAGCATAGAGTCAACATTAAAACTACCAAAAAGCTGGGGGTTAGAAGTAAAAGACATTTGGGGAAATCAGAATAGCATTTTTCCAAGGTAATTAGCCAACACGAAAATCAGATACAGGGTTTTAATTTAAGATAATTTCTTGTACTTCAGTGAAAACAAAAGAGGATGCAGAATCTATATGTATTCTTTCAACTGTGCTTTAGAAAAACTTGAGAGTCTTTAAACATTCTCTGGAAGATTTTGGAACTTACATTGAAAAACTAGCCATGAGGTATTTATTTAAGCAAGTCACATTCATTCTTATGAGAATAAAGCAGATAACAAATTGTCATTTACTAGAACTATAACCTTACTTGATAGGATAGTCTATTTTTAAGAGATTAATCTCAAACCCAATAAAACTTCTTCAGCTTTCTCAACTGACATCTACACCTCAATAAAAAAATTTAAAAAAAAAAGAAAGAGAGGAAGAGCAGGAACATACAACCAGCATTTCAAGTGCAAATCACTGTTTGGGGAGGGGGAGGGCAAAATAGAAATAGTTGTTGCCAGCTGTTGCCTAGCTGTCCTATCTCACCTTTAATTGGAACAACCCTCCTCAAATAGGGCAATCCAGGATTATTAAGGGGCCTACTGAAGAGAAAAAACCCACTAATTACGTAGACAAGGTATTTTAGGAGTGTTACATACACTGCAAAAAAACTAGGAAGTTCACAAAACAGAAGACAACACATTGCACCACCAAAATTCATAGACTATTTATAAAATGCTATGTCTGGTGATGTTATATTTTACAATACCTTTACTCATTCCTTTATCATCACAGAAAAAGTTCCACACAACCATTTGCTACACTGATAAGAGCAAGTTCGATTTTTCTGTATACACCCTATAGTAAACTAAGTGAATTTTCTTAAAATTAACTCCCTAACAAAGTATAGCCTTTTAAAATTATCATAATCTTGGAAATATTTTCAGATGCTAAGTTCTCACTCTAGACCAAACCACCTTCATTTTCTTGGACACCAGAATCATTAAATGCTAAGGTAAAACTGGATGCATGCATGGAAGACTAATCTTTTCTCCACTTGTAATATAACCTTTTTGTTTTCATACCATCCAACAGCAGTATGCTGAAGCCACCTTTCACACATCCAAACAGTCCGAGATCCAGCCTTAGTGCCTCATCCCACCTTTTCTCTCTTTGCAACTGCCTGACATTTGGCCAACAGAACACATTAAAAATGTATCCAGTCCATGAATCTGCTGTTTTCCTACACAGCAGTCATACATTTCCAGCTTTAAAGAGTTAGTTCTTGCCATCTCTGTAACTGTATTAAACGAAGCTAAATTATATATTTCAATGGCTGAGATTGAAAAAACAGCTTAGGTTTTTGTTAACAATCTATTACAAATCTGTGTACACTTACCACATTTATACCAGGTCCCAAGCACCTCAACATTTTTTTTGTGTTATTTATAAATCTTTCAGAAGGACTTTTCTTGCCTCTTGGATACACGTATTTATTCAAGTTCAAGATAATTCTTCCATTCTTTGCCTTAGGAATTTAAATTTTAAAAGCAACAGCTATGCTGCAGTAACTGTGCATGCTGTCATCCATGGTTAAGATAGCACGGTTTATGCCAAGATGATTAACCTCAAATTAAGTCGTTATTATTTTAAGTAATCTGCATTCCTTCCTGCTGCGGCGCTTGGCAAGAAAAAAAAAAAGTAGTTAAAACAATTTTTTGTTGTAATGTTAAGGATACTTAAGACTTTGTCCCGATCTAAATGAGGTGTCTGAAGACAGAGATTCTTTGGAATCAAAACAGAAAGACAGAAAAATGGTTCAAGTGTTCAGATAACTCCTGGTCTTGCCTGGAAATATGCATCTATGTTGTCATCCACCTAACTGCTGTTTCAAAACATGCATGTCAAGGTCACAAGAATCCATCTGAGAAAATACTATTACTACATAGAACTGACTATAGGACTTTTCCTAAGCATACTTGTAGTGAACTTGAATTTAAGTAAATAAGGTAAATCCCAATAAAGTTGCCATTCCCATCATACCTGCAGGTGCCTGAAGCCATACGAAAGTATATTGCCATTAAAAGTTACATAACCTTAGAAAGTAACTGGAATGCAATGCAGCTGCATCTCCTATTTCCAGCTCATTTTTAATGCATTATAACTGTAAGCTGGGTTGAGCTGTTGGACTACTACTACAACTCGTAAGTTGTTTTTCCACAAAGAGACATCCAATCATTTTAATAGGATTTTAAACCAGTACAATTATTGCCTAATTTTTCACGTCCATTTCATTCAATTTCAATCTGTTTAAAACCTAAACGCCTCCTTCAGTAGCCAAGTCACTAGAAAATAAGAGCTTGATGGCAAAACCAACTATAAAAACCAAGAGAAAAGTTAGCTTCACTCATTCTTTAATTCTGGCCAGGTCTGAGACAAGTAAAAGAAGGATGAAAAATTAAGACTGATTTGAACTCCTTCTTCATCAAGAAGGCCACAGATAACAAGAGAAGCAATTCTGAAATATGTATGTCCACTTATTACACCTAGAGCTGCAGTTTACTTCAGACGATTTACAAGTATTCCTCCGACAGCTGCCGTTATCCTTCTCTGCTCTGGAACAACGGTTGGTAGTTTTGATTATTTTTTTAAACAAAGCGGTCCTCAACCCAGACAAGCGCCACAGATCTGCGTGTGCTACCCGACAACTCCGTTCGCCTGTAGGCAGGCGGCTTCGGCGCCCGCTGGGACCCTGCCCACCGCCTGCCTGCCACGCCGCCGGCTCTCCTCCGAACGCCGCCTGCCGCCTCGCGTCGCGCCGAACGCCTTCGGGCGCATCAGCAAACCGCCGTTCCTCGCTGCACCGCAACCGCAACGCCCTGCACAGAGTGCTCGAGGGCGGGGGGCGGGGGGGGTCCCTTCTGGTCTATGCACCTCTCCGCCCTAACCTGCGGGTTCAGGTCAGCGGATCCGCCGGACTGAGCCTCTCTGCATCAGACCCGAGGACAGGGACCTGGCAGAAGACTTGACACACCGGGCCCGCGGAGGGGCCGGCCAGCCGGGGCAGAGCCGCCGCGCCTCCCGACGCTCGCTTCGTGCCAGGAGAGCGGGCGGGGACGCAGAGCCACAGCCTCGGCCCGCCACCTCCTGAGGCGGGGGGCGGCCACGGA